AACTTTAATAGTTCATATGAAATATATCTGACTCTGACACTAGTCTAACTTGTAAGATAATATTCTGAATACATCCCCTTTACTTCTTGTTCTTGTTGTTCCTCACCATTTTTTGCAGATCATCATGGCCCACCAAAGATTAATATGTGGGAAGACCTGCTTAGTCCATCTAAATGGAAGGAAGAACATGTGAGTTCTATTTGCATGGTTTATATATTTTCTAATGTTCGAGTGTTCTGGTTATAGGAAGAGCTATATATTTTTGTGCAACTTCCTTTAGAAGATCTTCTTTTGTTTTTGGTTCAACATTTAGACATATCAATAGTGATTTTTTTTTTTAAATAGTGATTGAAATTTGTCTCCTGGGTCTAGACCAAGGTGAATCACGAACCCTTGGTTCAACATTTAGTTTATTGTAGTTTTCTGTTGAAGGTTTCTGCAAGATGTTGTGAAATGAAGCTAACAAGAGCTTTGTCTTCTACAGTTTGTACTTACTAGTTTGACTGGCTGGGCCCTTCTATTTTATGGTGGATACAAGCTGTTTGGTGGAAAGAAGGACACAAAGGAAGTGGTATTGATAGTAGTTGAAACTCAAAATTATTAGCTGCAACTTTATTTAAACATTTTTGAACGAGCTTGCTTTTATGGAAAATGTTGTGCTTTTTTAAGATTGTTATTATTCTAGTTGGACAGGGTTTCTTCACCAATAGGTTAAATAGCATCTTGAGAAATTGGATGAACTGATGCCTAGAAAGGAGCATGGCCATTTTAATGTGATATGGATTTCGTACTCTATTGTGTATGAACTAAGCCTATATTTTTATTTAGGGTGCGGATGCTGTAGCATGCTGTATGAGGATAATTACAGCTTCCAAAGTTTCTGATAATAGCAAATAACTAGCCAGGACCATGTAGTTGGGTAAAGGAGATGATGGAATGATCAGTGAATCCCTAATGAATCCAAACTGCAGATCAATTTTTGATGTTTAATGTTTATGGGTAAATAATTTGTTGATTGATTCTAGTTTGGGTTGGAGCCAAATCCATAATGTGTTTGTATTTGCCATGGGTCAAACCAGTTGGGACAGCACATTTCTATTTCTTCTTTTTTTGTGGATATTTTTTCTAGATTTGATTTTTTATGTTAGAGACAGTACTTTGATGTGTTTTAATTAGGAAAAAGTTGCCAACTTAACAAGTCTTTGGGATATTATTGCTAGAGATTTGGAGTCTTGAAATGTGACTTATTTAATGAATCCAATAACTTCAGGGTGAAGGAAAGAAACTTTAGAAAAAGAAACTAGATGTTTGTGTGAACGCTCTTGCCTCGAGTGAGATAATAGGCAGATTTATAATGAATGAAAACAATATTGATTTTTGATGGATGGTCTTCTGATCTCTGTTTTTTCTTTTTATTGAAATTTTCTTCTAGTTTCCACTCTGCTTCTCCCATTCTACAGCTTCCACCAAAATGTCATTTCGTTTAATCTTGTAATTGTAGTTATCTTCTATTATTTTTAGTTACAATGTTGCATCAAATTGCTGTCCTAAATGCTATAAATCAGGTAGAGCATAGATCTGGACTACCGTGACAATTGATAGTTTGTCTACCAAATTTCTGTAACAGTGTGTTTAATGTTGTATTCTTAAGAAGCTGTGGTATATAATTACAGGGTCTGCCGTACCGAGCCGTACCGCCCATACCGGGCGGTATGTAGCACTGTAACAGTACACTGTGGTACTGTAGTAGTGCTACAGTACTCGGTACACCCAGGTGTACCGCTCGGTATACCGTACCGGTACCGAGCCCAGGTCGAAATACCGGTATGGTACGGTATTACGAACCTTGATATAATACGTACCAAATCAAAATGGCATGATTAACGGTAGCTGGCATATGAAATCTTTGTTTATAACAAGGATATTATACATGAAACGTTTGGCTTCTTGTGACTGATCATATTTATGTGGCAGGTGGGAGAAAAGTTGGTGCACTAGATTTGCTGGGATAACCTACCTTCTCATTCCTGATTGCATGGCAATAAAGCATTCGAGTAACATTGCCTTCTTTAGAGAGGTCCTCTCTTTGTTATGCTCTTCAAAGTTTTCATAGCATGATAGACTATGTACTGTGGGTTTTTGTCTTGTAATCTTGCACAACACATTCTATATTTCTCCAATAAAACACAATATGATGAGACAACAACTCCTTGGTATTGTGATATTATTTTCTCATGGCAAGTCAATGCTGGCTCACTATGATTGCCAGTCAAACTGTTCTTTCTTTATAGCTGATGTTTTCTACTTGACTCGAAACTAAGGGGCCTTTGTCTGAGTCAAAATACAATGCCTATGTGCTCAACCCTTTTGTCTCTAATAATTTTCAGCTAATATGATTGTATCAAACAGGTGATTTCTGCTGAGAGTCCCCATTCTACTTTGTGACTGTGACATCTCCTTTGTTTACATGCAACTCACTGATGTTATTGATGAATGGTTTGATCAGCTTCTCACACTAAATTACAAGTTACCTTCATCTATTTGTAGAAGCTAGAATTGCCATTCCTGAGGATCCTCATTCCAACTTCTACCTTCATCAGCTCACTTCTTCAGGTAATTCAATGCATGACATAAAATAGATAGGTTTATAATGTTAGCTTGAGTTCAATAGTTGGCATGTTCTTAACTTACATATTATCAAAACCCTCATTTGATTGTCCTTGTTTTTATTTTTTTTTTCTCTAGAACTTATTGGCTCTCTCTCTCTCTCTCTCTCTCTCACACACACACACACACAAAGTAGAAATTTAAATCATTAGGGAAGAATTTCCCTTCTTTTTTTTTCTTAGGGTTAGGGAAGAATTCACTTCATGCAAAGTTGAAATAAAATCTGCTTTAGAAAGATTTGTTATGATCTGCTTTGCATGTGTCGAAGAATGGTTAGCTGGTCAATAGTCTTGGCATCATCTGCATGGGGAATCATTATCCCCATTCCTTGTGTCGATACATCGAAATCAACCTTTTTTATGAGCCATACTTCTTTTCTTATTTCCGACAGGAAATCATGTTAAGGAATATAAGTGATAAGTGACAGTAGGAGAGGCTGCCACCATCCACTAACAAGATGCCTTAAGGAGAAAGAATACAAGAAAGAGACAAGCGAGAGAATACAAGATGCGATCCATGTGCCATGTGATGGGAGTGCAAACGAGTGCCAATCTAAAGCAAATTAGGCAGCGGCCTCCTCTATGCGTATATTGCCACTCCACTGCAAGCTGTAGCTCGGTACCAGAGAGAGAGAGAGAGAGAGAGAGAGAGAGAGAGAGAGAGAGGAGGAGGAGGAGGACAGTAGTAGCTTGATCCCAGTCCGAGAAGAGAGAGGAGAAACACGAGGGGAGGAAAGGGAAGAAGACGAAGAATGAAAGGAAGAAGGCTAAGTGGAGGGAGGATATACAGCAGCTGCCGTCGCCTGATCCCCAAGCGTGGGCGGATCAAGGCCTCAATCGCCGCTGCCTTTGCCCACGCTTTCGCCGCCTTGGTCTCCCTCGTCGTCCGTCGTCTTTAGATGGCTGACTCAGAGATGATAGATAGATAGATAGATAGATAGATAGATACTCAAGCCTCTTTATCTCTGTTTGATATGATGTTCACAGTAGTCAAAATCTAGGTTAGTTTGTTGCAGTTTATGAACATAGTGAAATGGAAGTTCTGCATATATATGTACATGATTTTAACATCCACTATTCACTCCGAAACAATTTCATTTCATCCCAATCTCAAGTTGTTATTAGTCACCATATCTTACAATCATAATGGATCCAAATCGAAATTAAAAAAAACAAATAACAAGGGGTTATTCTTTTATTATAGAAGGAAAATTATTTTGGTTCATATACCCACACAGTCTGGGTGGTGTAGTTGGTTATCACGCTAGTCTCACACACTAGAGGTCCCCGGTTCGAACCCGGGCTCAGACAGACTTATCTTATTAATTATTATTCTATTTCATTTTTTCTTAGGATAATTTAAACGAGATATCCTACGAAATGTCATGAACTTCTAATCTGAAGATGTCCTACGAAACCACATACATATAACAGATCCCCTATGGTTAGAACCGTTGTCTGGGTGGTGTAGTTGGTTATCACGCTAGTCTCACACACTAGAGGTCCCCGGTTCGAACCCGGGCTCAGACAATGTTCTAAATATGTTTTTTCCCCCTCAGTTAAGTGAGTTATATATTACATGACCAACTTATTTTTGTAAGGTATCATATAATATGACGAATAATCAAATACAAAACAGTAACACTCTGTATTCAATCAATAGGTCGGTAGGGATGACGACTTGCAGAAAGAAATGCTTTCGTTCCGACTTTCTCAGAGTTTCTCTTGGCGCGGCTCAGCAACACAAAAGCGAGAGTCGGGTGTAGGCTTCTTTTGTCATATAAGAAAGATGGCTCTACTGCTCCTTAATTTGATGGTTTTTGTTGGTCGACAGTAAACAATGTCTTTTCTAAAGATGGCTCTGCTGCTCCTACAACCGACTTCATCGGCTCCCCTCTTTGTGGACCTTTCTTCTCCTATTCTTAATGCTATAGTGATCGATAACAAAAAGAGAAGACTTTTTTGACTTTTTTCTCGCAACCTAGCTTGCACCGAAAGCCTTTTTTGACATTGTCCAATGTTTAATGCTACTATTAAATTGAGAGAAGAGATTGATGCTAATATTAAATTGTAAACTAAATTTAGTTTACAGTGTCAAATTAAATCGAGAGACATCGATGATGATATTAAATTGTAAGTTCAGTTGTATCAATGTCTCTCTCGATTTAATTTGCACCATGCACTTGAATTTAGTTTCACCTCTCACCTTGCACATGAGAGCAGTGTTCATGAACATATCGAATCATTTCTTAAATGATCATCCAATCAAAATCTTTATCATTTGACATGATAACAGTTCTGATTCCAAGCTCGAAATATAATGACACAGATTCATCCTCAATTCTAATGTCTATGATACTTGCAACCCAACAATATTACATTACAAGTAGTAACCAAACATCAGGCTACTTCAAAACTCACTAAGCATGAAGCTATAAGGCCAAGCTAAATTGTCATGCCAACAAAAACAAAAACTCACTAAGAATGATAGAATTATTACACAAATAAAAATAAATGAGCTACAGATTAGCATTTTTTTAAAATAGAATTTTTTTGTAAAAGTTTCTTGAATGCCAAGCTCAAGAGAGGATTGAGATATCCTGTAATCTTCGTATACCACTTAGCCGTCGATAAATGCTGAGGCAATAAATGCGTGTTTTGAGTGAAGATGAGCAAAATGTTATACAAAATCGCCTCTCAACCCGTCTTCCTGCTCAAGTAGAAATCTGCTACACTAAGGAAGAGATGTTTCCCCAGCTCCAAATCAACGGATGGCTGGTTCTCAATGCAATCTACCTTGATCTGCAGGATTGTTGAAAGATTCAAAAACTTGCTAAAGACCGGTAGTTTGTTCCAAACAAATTTGGATAAAGAGACCCAATCACTTCAAAGTATTGTCGAGTCAAAAGCCTAACCTTTCCGTTTCCAGCTTGGAACTCTGACTTCAAATTGTAAAGGTCTCTCGATGACAAATATGTTTGTAAATTTTCAGCATATTTGTTATTTCCTGCAGATTCGGGAGTGCAGTGTTAAAATGTTGAGTTTTGGAGTAATATACGAGAAGGGTAAATTCTAAATAGCCAACCTGAATATAGTGCAACAATGGCTTCAGCATTAAAAACAAGGGCGGGCTTTGCTATGATGATGATAAAGGACAAACTGGTTATTTCCTCATGAGAAAATTGGACCTACAAAAAGTGATGGGACAAAAATCGTTAATTTAATTTAGATATAATGTGTCTAGAACCAGTGTTATAAGTGGAACTGAGGTGAACAGCAATGCCATTGACATCAAAATTAGGAATCCTTTTATGATGGTCAGGGAATTTCATAGCTCAGCATACCTGAAACTCCTCTTGACAGAAAATAACCTGCAAGTAACGGTACTGCAAGCGGTGAGTGTGATTTCAAGCCAATTATAACAGAATTAGCCTGAATAGAACATACTAGATGTGTAAAAAGAAAAATATATATGATAATATGCCCCTGAAACCATTAGAAAAACAGTAAGAATGGATTTTTACTAATGACAGTCAAATGTCAATTCAATGGATTATCCATCATGGCCTTGGAAATAATAACAATAATGTATTAAGATGCAACAGCAAAAGTCTCTAAATGCTCAACCAAGAATGGATAGGAAATAATGATAACAAATGCATCTAAAGCAATGCCTTTCTACTATTAAATACTTACAGCTTCTGATGGAGCCCAACTTTTATGAAGTAAAGGAGAACCAAGAGCATCTTTGATATACTCACCCTGCATGAAAGGACAAAGCAAAAGCCACCAACATTAACATCCATAAAAGTCAAACCAGAGAATTCAAAGTACATTACTGAACATGAAGATCATACCTGGGAATTCACAATCTTTTCCAAGATCTTTTCATCTTTCTCAAGAGATTCATAGTATAATTCCACAATATCAGTGGGTTCTAATCCAGCTTTCTTCCGCAATTTCTGAATTCTGTTCACAACCTGAGATAGAGAAGTAATACAGACTCAAGGCTCATACATCTACTTCATCCTCATGTAAAGCAACATCAGGGTCGTAAGAGTGAAATTGTTAGCATGACATTATGCAATGCACAATCATGACATTTCCTATAACTAACTACTCCAGGAGCTCTTTTATCAAGGGAAACGAGGCAGCAGAATATTTGATGGAAACACTGGCCATTTTATATTGCAAACAACTATGAACGGATGTTAATTATGAGCTATTATATACCACAGATGCACAGATATTAGATGTGCCAAAAGAGCTAAGCACTGTTAGTACTAGAGAACTAAAAATTTGGGAGAAACAATAAGAATGATTTGCCGATGTCCAAAGAATGACGGATCTAAATAGCTATGCATGTGATGATTCAACACATAGTACAAAACATATATTGGATACACAAGTACATACAAGAATCGTTATCCATGTATAGATCACACAAGAATGTAACACATCTGTTACTCGGATGTAAGCACTAAGTATGCTTTATGATCAATAGCTATTAGAAAAGTTATTTGGCTGTATTAAATGTATTATTTATGATTATATAGTAAAATGAGTTGCATAAGTTTGGAGTATCCATGTATAACTCAAGCTCAAAAAAAAGTTGCTTTTCTTTTTATTTATTCAGCGTAAGAACAAAGAAGCCCCTTAACAAATTAATCATGGAACTAGCAACCATATGATCTACAAAAAAAAAAAAAAAAAAAAACAAAGATTTCCATAATTTACCTCGCGAGCAACTCCCGCATCAAACAATGATTCATCAGCTCGCAAATCCAATATCACCAAAACATCACCTAACAAAAGCAATATGACCATAAGCACAAGGGAGAAGTTTTTTTCTACAATGTATTTTTACAAAAAAAAAAATCTGATCGGTACCATCTCCAGCAGCATCTATTTCTTTTTCTGTCACATCAGCAGGTCGTTTAAACTCCCGCAATACCTGAAAGCATGGGCCAAAATTATCAGTTGCTGTTATCCATTATAAACTAATAGAACTCGTGATACTATATTTAAGATGCTGAAAAATTCCTAAATTCTTTTGAGTGAATAAGTCCTTGATACTCCTGCATAAAATCTAATCTCAAGATATCAGTGCTATTAAGCATTCATCAAATATCCATTTTGAAAACAGATCCAAAATGAAAATTTAGGAAAAGAAGTTTAAGATGCAGACTTGACTTTCTTCACAATTTCTTTTATTCTTCTAATAATGGTGAAATAATAACTAATAAACTCCAATAAGTAGGCGAAAAACCACCGACTTGAAAAGCAAAACAGGTAACGTAAGAGAAAATTATGTAACTATTATCTGAAATTCTGAATAATAAAAATTCATAATAGGATTCCCAAGGTTAAAGAGCGTTTTCGTGATTAGATATGCAAAATTCAAATTGTAGGGAAAGTGCAGAGTGATTGTAATATGATAAATGGTTGCATATGAAAAAACATGCAAAAAAGTGAACCTTTAAAATCATAGCACTAAATAGTGTTACCGCTAGTCCTCGATCCATAGAAACAAAAAGCCATTGCCTCACAATACAAAAAACCATATGGTAATTGAAATACTCCCTAAAACAAGGTTAACAATATAATTAACAAATTTTAAATGGAAGATAATTCTAAAAGATGTGCTTCAAGACCAAAATTTAGAACCTTTATATCATTTTGCTTCAAGCAATGCCCAGAGAATGTAGCCTCCCCAGTTTGTTCAAATAATAATATATCAGCCTGCGACATTGACTTAACCTCCTTAGCAACAGCACCCATTGCTTTCCCAAGTCTTTTACCTAATATACTAAAAAAGAATACAAGAAATAAGAAAACATAATTGAACATGCTAAGGAATTTGGTAACCAGTCCAAGGCATACCTAAAATCAGGCTCAGCCCTTAGAGAAGCATATCTCAAAGGATCATTGCAAGGAACCACTGATTTAATATTGAGCTCCTCCAACACATACTACAAAGTGCAAATAAGTTTGCAATTTAAGAAAATAAGTTAATTGCATATTGGAAAAAAGATATACAGTTTAATGAAACATGAGGCAACTACACGATACTTGGATTTCTAGTAACAAGTAACAATGTATTTACAGAATAGAGTATATAAAATGCAAGCTCAACTTGAGAACATTTCTGAAACGAAAAGAAGACTAATTAAACTACAACCACCTTTGGTGATCAGTTTGCTTCTGAATATAAGAACGACAGTAGACCCACTGGTTATGGGGTTTATCAACACTATCCTGGTTGGGTGAAACTGTTAATATATGCCCTTTCTATGTCCCTAAAGCATGACAATCAAATGTCAAGGCTGGTCATTTTGCTAAAAGAGCTGTGTAAACTCAAGGAATATCAACATGAGACTTCTGGGCACTGGTTATAGCTCGATGAACCGCATGATTATCTTTAACTATAAACTCAAGGAATATCAACTTGTTATTTGTTGTTCTTATTTTCTATTAAGAAGGTTTAATTTTTTTAATTGACCTATCTGGAATGGTTTTAACTTGAATATATTTTATTTGTCCAGGCAGATCAATCTCTGGATCAAATAAAATTGGCCATGGTAACCCATTTTGGTTGGATCAACAAATTCAACTAGGAATTCACAGTCCCTTTACTTTTGGCCGATCCCTAACAAGGACTAAGAGTTAATCATCAGAATGATCATCACATCTCACATTCAGTGATGTAAGCTGTTGGTGTTTCATGTGCTTCTTCCAGAATTTTGCCACACTACATCTCTCCAACAAGACAAAGAAAGATTTGATGTAACATGAGTAACTGGTAGAAAACCAGTGCTCTCATCCAACCATTGCTCATTGGCCACCCTTAGGCAAAAACACACTATCATCTCGGTTGAGCCTCTTTCTGACAGATCTTTGGATTCATTGAGGCAGTTCTTAGCATAATTCTGTGAATGTTATCTGCAAGATTCTTTTTCATGGATTATTTCCAATTTAGAAATAATAACCAACATCCTGCGCAAGGCATTTGTAGATGTCTCTAGAATCTTGTTATCCCCTTTACATAGGGCTGCTTTGCATGCCAACTGCTTAATCATCAGCAAGGCAATACAAGTTGGTTAGTCAATCAACTAAGAAGTTACAACCTATAAAAAACTCTCTTTATTGTTATTGTATCTGATAACACTCCTATTGTAATTTCCTTCGTGATAATTGTTTTTGTTTGATGAAGGAGTTGTAGTAAATGAGATGACAGCCACTGAGCTTTGTAGATATGAAGATGCCTGAACTAAAGCTAATACATTGACTAAATCAAACTCAGACTCCCAAATAGAATATAGACAAACTTTGGTAGCATCACGATGATCATTGTACTGAAATTTTCTTGGTGATATTATTTATCAGCTGATAATAGAGATGTAATATGAGAACCAGCCTGATCAAAGGTTAATATGCTAAGAAAATCAAACTTAGATCTCCAAATAAAATAGATTGAGTGTTCATACCATCAGAATGTAATGCAAGACGGTAGAAAATTAAAAAAAGTTGTCTGAAGGAGAAATAAAGAAAAACTAAGCCATAATCAGACCTCTCTCAGTTTTCCAGTAATGTCTTCCAGAAAGTCTGAATCAGGATGAACAACTATCATCTCCCTGAAATAGTTAACAGCAAAAATAAATTATCTAATAAATATGGAACAGAACTTTCCATATGCAAACAACTTTGCATACTTTAGTGGTGTCTTGAGGGGTTTACTATGACGCTCTCTAATGTTGCGGGCGAGGTCAATGACAGTCATCATCCTCATGACACTTCGTTCAATGCGCTCTTCTCTCTGACCATATCATCATTATAATAATGTAAAGCATGCTAAGATGGCACAAATAAGAAATGAAACAAAGGTAGCCACATAGTCGATAAAGAAAACTATCACCTTTCCTGTTGCTGAAGGAAAGCTACAATAATGAATGCTTTCCTCAGATCCAACAGAGACTTTTCGCAGGTTTTGATAAAGAACCTCTGTGAAGAAGGGTGTGAATGGAGACATCACTTTACAAGTAGTTAAAAGCACCTGAACAATATCAGATTGTGTACAATTAATAAAATGTACATATCTTCTCCACTGCAGTTTCTAACAGTACATTTGAAATTTAAAATGATATCAATGCCACAAACTAGATATGTTGTCTTTCAAATTATGTTCACAGCAAAGATCGAACAAAAAAAGACTCATTGTATAGTGACATCAAAAGATCCTAATTCATCCAAAATGAAGGTAAACTATTGATCTTATTCAATTAAACATGGGACAAAAATAGATCCAAAAATTAGAATATTTGTGTCATTGGATTTAAATATTCAGGGAAGATCATGGAACTCAGAGACCGTATTAGATGAAATCAATAAAAAACATTCCATAAGAATGAAAATGGCAAAGTAATGCCTCTCGATAGGTGACGTGATATTTTACAGATCCAGATGAAGGCCACTTAGCATGACTGCTTCCAAGCAAAGATGGCAAAGAACTGGAAAATAGGCCACCGAATTTGGAACCTAGACACAAGCCTCAATTAAAATATAGAACAAAACAACACATGCTAACGACACAAGTATAAGATGCAATATTTCTGTGCTACAAAGTACAAACAAAAGCTAAAGCAATCCAGGAATGTAAAGCAGGCCACTACTCAGGAAACAATGTACATTGTACAGAGTAGAAAGAGAAATCCTGCAGTCTTCTTCTCCGGTTCGCCCCTTTAATCTCTTCCGATTAAAACGCACATATATGTTGGTAAGGTTGTCAATGAATTTTAGAAGATATGGTACAACCTAAAGCAAGGACAGAATTAGTAGCAGAAAACAGAAGATAAATTTATAATAAAAATCCACAGCTGGATGATTGTATTCATTAAGCAGACAACCGTATACAAGCGATATGAATCCATCTCTTGACGAACAAAGTGGACTAAACTTTCTGTAGCAGAGTTGATCCACTGGTCAAGCACATTTGAAGAGTTCTGAAGAGTTTCACAATCAATAGGAACAAACGGTGCAAAACCCTCAACCTCAAGCCTTTTTGCATTTTGAACAAGGAACCTATATGCATTATACCAGGGAAGGAAGACATCCTTGACCTGCTTAAACAAAAGAAAACCAGAATGGAAATATCACAAACAGTAGCAGAACAATAGTTATGAAACATGTATCTAGTTTCGCATGTCAAGAGTTGTGTTTGAAAAAATGAGCCACTCACCACACCATATACACCATCCTTTTTGAACCGCAAAGGCTCAGCACGAACAACAGGAGAATTAATGAGGTATAATCGCAATGCATCCTGCGAGACAAAGATGTATTGTGTAATTAATACCAGTTTAAATTCAATAAGCAACAAAACTTTGCAACATAAGGCATGGACAAACAACTGTAATTACAACTCAATGTTGAATAGCAGATCTCTTGTTAGCATAAACCACTTGCTTACCGCTCCATAATCATTTATCACTTCAGTTGGTGAGGGATAATTCTTCAACCGTTTACTCATTTTCTTCCCATCCTCAGCCAACACAAGACCATTGCAAATGAGATTCCTAAATGCTGGTTTCTCAAACAGTGCAGTAGACAAAACCATGAGCGTATAGAACCTGAAATTTCATAATACCAAAAGGCCAAAACTCTTCATTAGAACATTAAAATGGAACCCCTGATATTCCGAAAGATACAATTCGTCAATACTGGTGCAAATCATTGGATGTATCTGTGAAAACAACAGCCAGGAATCATGTATTTTTTAAACTAATTACATAAACAGAAAAAAAATGAACACATTATGCACTGGAACTCCTACAAAGTTCAAGATGAGTCTCAAAGAAATCATGGCAATTCACCTACATTTGTTCAGTATCACATGAAAACTGTTACATCCAATGGTCTGTAAGATTGCTAAAATGTATGCCCAAATAGTTAAAACAAATTTCTAAATAAGATAATCCAAAAATTACATCGAAACAAAATAATTCAGAGTAAAATTGGCTGATCAAAAGACCTAATTTGCAGACTGACAATGGACAGCAAGAAATTTTACACCCTAGACCAGCTATTATAGGGGAAGCGCAAAATTCCTGCCTCATCCAAGAAGTTTGCATGCTCAGCCAAAAGACCAAGTATTATAATTGTTGCAAATGGATGCACATCACTAAAAGTATAATAAGTATAGAATGGCCTGAATCAGTATTCATGCTAGATTCATGCCTGACCTCCAAAGCATGACCTTCAAGCTAGACCAACCAGCATTGACAATGAATCCATCAGGAACAAAAGAGGCAAGCTGTCAGGATGATGGAATCTACCATCTAGGTCAATTCCATCAGGTGTTCCTGACAGATCTTGACCCATGTCAAATGGTCAACCATAGAACCTAAGAGACCAGCCATTTCAAGAACACGCCCACAGTAACCTGAGATTTAGATCCTTGTTATCCACATCGCTACTCAAGTTATTCTTTTACGAAAAAAAAGGAAGTATTACCAGATAGGCTCGTACAAATCAGTAAAAAATGCTGCAAAGATCTATATGATGAACTTAAGAGATAAAGACTTGCAATATCACTCATCAAAAATAAACAAATTGATCACACAATAAACTTGCAACTAACATGGTTCTAGAAAAAGTTCAAAGGAAAAAACAACCATCCTCGGGTCTGGTCAAGGCCCTCAGCCACGAAGTGTCCAGGAAAGTTCTTTTCAAAGACTTCAACATTCTCAAAAGGATAATGAATATATGCATATGGCATTGACCCACTCTCAAACCAGCAGTCAAATACCTGAAAGATGCAAAGAATCATATATTCATCACCAGCAGAAAATGAGTGTGACAGATACGAGAGTCATCTGCTTCAATATAAACAGGCAGTCACAACATTAACATGCAATCTATGCCTGAACGATTCTCAATTGGCAGAATAAATATTTATTAACTAATTAATTGCATAAGAGCCTTTTCACACTTCCACTGTAAGCTTTTAATCCTTCTAAGGTACTTAACTGCTAACATTGACAATTGACCATTGGTATACACTTCAAATCTAGACTCCTGATGGTATTCACTTGATCTACAACTGGTCACTGCAATTCAATATTGACTTGAGTAATCAAGCAATAAAAAAGATACAAATGTTCATGTCCACCAAAATATTCAAATATATGACAAAAGTTAGCAAGATCAACAAATGAAACAAGGGTCAAGCAACCATTAAAAAGGGTGTATGGTGGATTGTGTATGTTGGGTTGCCTTCTCCATCACTGAGTAAGCTCCAACAATGGTGAAACAGTGAAAGTTCTATTCCCAGTAATTTGCATTGGGTTAATTTGGAAGGAACATTGTCTAATACTGAAAATCTTAATCTTGACATGGCCCCTATCCCTACCCAACTGAATAAACCGATACATTTGAGTCCAGTAAGGTTAATCCTAAATATTAAGAGAACCTATGCTTGACCAGAGATAGTCCTAAATAGACTAGCAACCCTAGGTGAATGTCAGTTTAGCCTAGGAATATTACAACTAGATGCTGATCAATGTAATGTGCAGTAATATTAAAGTACATAGGTTAACTAAATTGTCCACAGCATTACCTTAATTATTTGATAAAATATTCTCTGTTTTATATAAGTGGTGCTTCTAGCTGACACCCTATGAACATAATATTTGCAAAATGATCTACCGAATAATTAGCATGGTTGGAATATCTAAATTTATCCACTAACATAAGAGAAAGTTTAATTGTTCATTATACCTCTCTCATCCCCATGTTCATTTTCTAACAAGAGAAATGAGATGTTAAAATAAAGAGTTGATGACCGAAGCAGACTTTATTACACTTGTGAGCAATAAAATGATAGAACTTATCAGTGAATATAGTATATAATGATTTCAGACCTACTTATTGCTATTTTAAGAAATTGGATAGGGTGCATAAAAAAAACACAGTAAATTTGTAAATTCCAAGATGAAAAAATTCCATATTGAGGCCCAGATAACTAACATCATCAACACGGCGAAGAACACCAAACTCTGATCCATGTTCAGAAGGAATGGTTATATGATCAATATTGTGTCGATGTAGATCAGTGACCTGAATTTAAATCCAATAGATTACGTCATGTTGTTTATCAGATAAATTAATTAACTAACATAAAAAATAATCCAAACTAGAAGTTGAGCAACTGCAGGAACAAACCTTAGCACCAGATAGCGTCTCAAGTTCTTCAATGGAACCAATAACTCTCTTCTCTTTGCCATCCTCACTAGTCCAAACAGGAAGAGGAGTGCCCCAGAATCTGCTTCGACTAACAGCCCAATCTCTAGCATTTTCGAGCCAATTATGAAATCTTTTTTCCTGTGATTAATCTGCCATTATCAGGAAACCTGAAGAAATATAAACTGAAAGTCTGAACTTTGAAATTAAAATTACAGATTATGTAATTTGATCACACTATAAAACTTAACAAATTATTACAAGTCTAAATTTACTTCAAAAATACATTAACTAACAACTAAATACATATATATATATATATATATATAATATAACTCCTAGCATTTTGGAGATTTTTGTACTAATTCTTAAAATTTCTGAACAATAAATTATTGTCACTACTTTCCTGCAACAATGACAAGGAGCATCAAAAGAAACACCATTCATCAATTTACAAACTAAAAGAAGATGCAAAATTCACAAAAGAACCAACTAATTATAAATATTTCTTAGTAAATGGACCTAACATCTCTCTCCAAACTAAATAAGCAACTTATATCATTCAAGAACTAATTGTCATCAATTTTTTTGTGGAACTTTAGGGAAGTTTCTTCCTCTAGCTTTTTCTCCATTAAAATGAAGTTCTACCATGTCATATCATTAAAGAGGATAAACAGGGGTACAAATTATGAAAACAGAAGTATCATTGTTGGTAATCAAAGATTAAAATATTCCACCAGATGAAAATCCACTTCATGACAACAAAAAACAAAATCGAGACACTGAACAAACAATGTTAAAGTCTAACGAAGCATGTTGTGCAAGAGACAAGTTATAACCAAGATTCAAAGAAGTACCACATGCCACTAGATGAAAATCCACTTCATGACAAAATAAAACAATAGAGATACTGAACAAACAATGTTAAAGTCTAACAAAGCATGTTGTGCAAGAGACAAGTTACAACCAAGATTCAAAGAATTATGATGCCATGCTACATACTGCCAATGACCTAAGCTCGTAGATTATACAGGAACTCTAATTGATATTATTAACTCAAGCAACCCAAAAGTTTACCCAGTGTTCCAATTGGTCTCACTGGTCCAGTCCAGTTACAATCCTAATAAAACCAATCAATCAACCTAGGTTGGCACTCCTATGTCTTCAACTATATGCATTGTGTAAGAACATCAGAATATGATTGGCGATGTAGTAGAGAAAAAAATCTGTTCTGATCATACATTGAGAAGAGCCACTCTAGATACAACGAGGCAAAGAAAATTATCCAAACCTTGACATATTCTGGAACCCAATATGTTTGTTTGTTACTTTCGAGCAGCTGCGATTTAATTTTTTCGACAGCAACAAACCTGAATGTACAACCACAGTAAGTACTATGTTCTAGAGATCCAAAATAAGAAATAAGAAAAAGGTCCCTGAAGCAGAAAGTTAATCATTCAGAAAGTAAAAAAATTGAAATTTACTGATTTTTTATTAGACAACATAGACATGACAACATAACAAAACAATTTCGTAGAATGAAGAATTCAAATTGAAAAGTATCTTTGATGTAAGAACTTCGAGTAACTAAAAGCAGGTCATTAATTTAAAAAACAATACTGATTTTTTTTAATTGATGAACAGTTGGCCAACTGTTAATCGATTTCAATATTATTCACCGCATGTCCTTCTGGCCTAAATCAGTAAAATTAAATTTATTATAGCAAGATATGCTTTGACATAAAAAAAAACAAAACAACAACAAACAAACCTAATCCAACAGTACTAAACAATTTGTTCAAAAGTATGAGCAATAAAAGGTGAAGATGCTCAACAACTGCTAAGAGATCTAGACAGAATTTAATGTCATAAGGTTGCACAAAGGTAACATTCATCTTACCAATTAAATTATCTATGAAGAAACTGGAAACCTGATTTAGTATATGATATCATTGCCAAAGTTCAGAAAAATACAAGGAAACAAATGCTTAATATATGAGAATTTCAGCCAGCAAGATTTATATGATGAAACATTACTTACCAACTAGGAACAGCCCTATATAAAAGAGGGGTTTCTGATCTCCAACAAAAAGGGTAAGAATGCATGATACTTCCATTACTTACAAGTCTGCCTTTCACCTGCCCAGAAGTCCAAGGTATTATTCCAAAATGTAAAAATGTATACCAAAACAAAATAGATGAACTTTCCCACAATATCACATTTAAAATTTCTTTTCATCATCATAGACCAAAACTCCAACAAAAAACAACAAATCAATAAAAAGCCACAATGTTAGGTCACAACTATAGGAAAAACCCATGCAAAATGCTCCTGCCCATGTGGGCAATGCTAGGTCACAACTATAATGGGTCAAAATCCAAAGTACATATATATATTATATTTCCTTTTATGTAGAAAAAACTATATTTACATCATAAGCATAGGTGACATGTTTCTTAACAAGTTCTAAAACATTTGAAATATGTAAGAAGCATCTGATGATTACCGATGTCTAATGCAGACACCAGAAGCATTTTAAATCATCAACATACTGTGGTATCTCTGTGAAACACTTGAATTGTCTCCCAAGCATGGTTTCGTATATGACCACATGTCAATCATACAGGCTAAAGCAAGTATAGAAACACAATAGTCATACCAAACAGGCTATAGGCAATGGGAACACAAACATTGTCCAAGAAACCAACATTCCAATTATTTATTAGTTTGAAATTTGTTAAACTCCAATGAAAAAAGATGCCAAAGCAAAATTAAACTTGAATACATATCTTAACAAATGCAATATATGCTAATATGAATATCAGTGTTTATCTTTAATTAAGGACTAGTAAATTAACTTTTGACATTGTACAACATGTGTATCGAAGACAATAGCCAATTACACATATGCAATGTATAAATTGTGTTAACCCATGCAATGTGTATATCTCAAAGTGTTCATCTAAAGATAAATTCATATTTAATTTGAGGTTGCACAACAAATTTACACATTGCATTTTTGTTTCTTTGACTTCATCAAAGAGCTCAAGACAATCTACAAATGCAATGTCTATCTAAACACTAATCATGTCTTATATTTCCATTAGAATTAACAAAAGATGTATAATTAAAAGTTTGAGCATGAAACATGTGATGAACCCTTAAAGTGCTCACATTATGCCTCCGTTTTTCCAAGCATCTAATGCCAAATTCAGGACTTGCATGAATCACACATCCTAGTCACACTAACAAGGTTTGAGGTTTTTTTTGCAGTTCAAAAAACATTTTCTGACAAATCATTCACTGAAAAGTCAGCTTGGAAAATTTACTCAAAAAAAATCCAACTCCAGTTAGATTCAAATGTGAGACAACTTAAAGCATATTTGCATTCTTAGAGCACAGATATCATAATGAAATTAAATAAAGGAGACAATATTATAAATTCAATAATCAAGACAGAAAAAATACAAAACTGCCACTAGTAAGCCTTGCCTTAACAGCATTTATAATATCCTTATCAGCATCCTTAACATAGCGGCCACAGAAGTCAGTTATCTCCTTAGTAAAGCAGCCATCAGCATCAACTGGCACAAACAGATCCACATCCTGTTCATCCATGAAAAAATAATATAAAAAACCTAGAACATGCAAGGTTACACCAAGTCTTTAGTCTTGTAGGCTGTATCAACTTGTTCATACTGCTCGACATAGATGAATGAGAATAGTCAGCATGTATCTCCTATGTAGGAGGTCATTGTTGTGATGGGAGGAATACAAGGAAACAACCCATAAAACATATACAGTGATAAGCATCTTCATACAGGAAAGTTACAAGAGATGAATCATCAGTCACCACCACACAAAAATCATCAAAAAAGAACACAACAATGATCTTTCAAATTCAGTCTACTAAGTTCCAACATCATACATCAACTCTGTCACTGCAGAAAGTTCTATATGCAGACTGAATATTAGACACAATATGCAGTAAAAATTAACACATCAATGATATGAGTGAAAATAGTGAAATAAATTTGAGTGCTGCTTATAAGATGTAAACAACAATAACAGCAACAAAAAGCTTATGATGATATCTATTTTCTATCAAATTCTTAATAGACTATTTGTAAGACACATGTCATAAGGTGACCTCATGAAACAGACAAAGTCCATAACATGGCATAATTGGAGAGTCTACTGCTATTGCAAAGAAAGTTCAGGTTTTAGATGGTGACTTTAACCACCCTTTTAGTCATTATGTGAAATAGAGGTTTATATGGAACAGAAACCAGGGTCCAGCTCCGTATGGATTTCAAAGTGCAGTAGTCAAGCAAAAGTACCATTCCATGACATCAATTTCATGTATTTTGATTCTACAAACTAATGTTACTACAGCAATGAAGTGCTGATAATCTAAAGGAAGCACCTAACGAGCTAGAGAAGCAATATCTTATACTATTTGGATATGTCAATGAAAGAATACACTACAACATATACCATTTGGAACTTAAGAAGGCAATATAAAGATATTCCAAGATCATCAAACAACAATCACAGAAATTATCCAACATTTGCTGATCTTGATCTCAAGTTGAAGTTAGTTGACAAAGGAAGATAATCAAGTATCTGGTCAGTTCTGTTCTTTGGAACATTGCTTCTTGGTTCTGAAAATGAAAAATAAGTTAATATCTGATAAGCTACCAGAAGCATTACAAAGATGGTCATTTGAACACCAAAAGACTGTTTCTGTATGGTCACAAATGAAGTATCCCAATAGAAGCCAGGATCCCATACAATGTAAAGCAGATTAAGATGCCACATCAAAGCCATGAATTTACAATGCCCAGATCACAAGAAAATCATTCTTCAGAATAAGGTGTTTCTACGAGTCCCTTAACCATGTGTCAAGCAGTCAAAATATGAATGGTTATTGCGATGAAGAGACACATGGAATGTTTAATTGTAGTTGAAATCTGAAGAATATTTTGATCTTCTAACAGAAATTTTAGCTGATAAATTTTAAATAATAAGAGCTGAACATAACATACGTATGTTGTAAGCCCCACAATATACACACTACAAATACATGGACATCCAACTATGTACAAAATCTTGCAAAAACATTCACATAATTATTTGATAAGATAAAAGAGAGGTCAAAATGTTTATAATTTTACCACAATACTAAAGAAAATTTTGATGTTTTCTTTATATCAGCATATTAGAAGAAAATACTTGATACCATCATCATGATATGATCTAAAATGGAAAAAGCATAGAACAACCAGAAAAGCCTTCAAGCATCCTAACCTTCATTATACCAGAAGCAACACAAACACGGTAATCATCTTCACCGAAGGCAGGTGCACAGTGAACAACCCCAGTTCCACTGTCATCAGTAACATAATTGTCTGATACTACCCTAAATGCTGTCTCCGAACAATTCATGAAGTAATCAAACAGAGGAACGTATCTGCATCACCAAGTTACTCAATGTCATTATACAATCATATAGCAAATACCAAAAAATTGCAGCAAATTGTCATCACAAGAGATATCAACCAAACATTAATAATAATAAATAGCACAACGTAACAAAGTTCAGCACAAAAATATCATGAATGCACAAGGCCAAATGGAAGAGAATCACACTTGCGTAGCATATTTAAAAGCATTATGTATGTGATTATGATTGTTGTATATTCATGAATTATTCACATGGAATCTTTGGCTAAAGAATATTGTTTGTTCACCTTAATCCAACCAATGAAGCGCCAGTTATTTTCTCCATCAACTGATAGGATCCAGCATCAACTCCACTCTTAGCTTTGCTGTTTGTGGTTCCCTTACTCTTGGAGTTGGGCAGTGATGCATCCTGTGCAGACACAACTGCTCCACCTGATTCTGACTTAGATTTTTTGCTAGGTAACTGGGACAACCGGGATTCTGCAACAACATAAGTTGCTCCTGAAGACTTCTCTCTGACCTATCAATATTTTTAAAAACTTTGAGATAAAAAAGGGAGGTGGAAGGAAAAGGTTATGAAACAACTTATAGAAACAAATATGCTGTTCTCAAACAGAGACACATATAGCAAGCCTGAGCGAGGTAGATTACAAAAACCTAAAGAGAACATTCAGGAAGCAAGGATTCATAATTCATCTAAAATAGTCAACCAGTGTTTATCTCATATCTGTTTGTATACTCTTAAGAAGTTCTAATGCTAGCAGGTTCACCCATGACAAAAAAAATAGTGCACGAATATAACATAAATTGGTGAGAAACTTTATCAACATATAGAACTTAAGTTTACATTAACCCCAGGTTCACCTTAACGGTCCGAACCGATGTACCGACCGGCCAAAAATATGGTACATATCGCTCCGAACCGACATTCCATGTGTCAGTACAATGAGGCATGCTGACGACACAGAAATGATTGAAAATAGCTCCAACAGTTCCTAAAAAAAAGTTAGATTATAGTTTTTAAGTTGAAAATAAATATAAATTTAATATAATTTTAGTAAAAATAATCTAAATTAGGAAAGAATAGTTGTATATCATTTTCGAGCTTCAAGTAGTAGCTCTATGTTACATTCTAGGTTGTCCTTCCATTGACATTGAATTATCTATAAAGAAATAATTTGAATTGTTGTATTATTTGTTAAACAACTTAAACTTTAAGATTCATATAAATCAAGTAATCAATCGATAAATATACTTGGTTCTACCACAAAAAAAAACGATAGGACTCCACGGGTGGTGAATCGGGGTCCTCGATCCTATGTATCTGTATATCAATTTGATATGTTTGTCGAACTCAATCCTGAAATTGATCCCACGATATAATATACCGATACACTGGACATCATTAGTGCATCAATGTGGTGATTGTCGTAGTTTAATCGTCGTAAACCACATGTGTTCGAGACGACACTTGAGGCAAGTACAATTGTGGCATATATTATTGTATCGCATAGAGAATGTCGAAACTTCTACTTTCACGATTGATCTGCTACTTTGTATCATAAGATTGATCACCGTACTACTGCTCGGAGAAGAATGACCAACTATCATGTCGAGTTCCATGATTTAAATCTTTGATGACATGCATAAAATACTGCTCCTTGATCCATGCATCACCCTCAAACTGTGTAGACAAGACCATCAACTCCCTAATGTCGTCGCCATCGTCGATTGAAGCATTGTTGTCCATGTCACTATCATATCTCCAAACCTAGTGGGTTGCTTAATGCGATTGTGAAGTTGTCTACCTACCTTTGATTAGAAAATTCTTCCAATAACTTAGGTGTTAATCCTTCCTAATCAGCCTACCAAGTTTGATATCCACAATCGTAGCTTTGTGAAGTTTTGAGAGTAAAATGTGAGAATGAGAAAGGAGTGAGTGAGAAAGAGATTGAGAGAGTGAAAGAGGAAGAAAGGGTTTAAAAACCCTTTCAAATGGATCTGACCATTAGTAAGGGTCAGATCTAAGCCGACAATAACGGTTGAAATCCAACCGTTACCGACCGACACAAGTAGGTAACAGTTGAATTTCGACCATTACTAAGCAATACAAAGCCTTTTAATATATACCACCCAGTACAAGGTGGTTCGCATATCAATCTCCTATCAAACTGGTCCTAACATGCCAACAGATACATGTAAGCAAAACTTGGTTATAAACAGCATTGTCAAGATCAAGATTGAATTGTACATCATTGTGAATTTAATCATGAATTTAACATCTCATTCTCTTTCTATAAAACAAAATATGGAATATGAGTTAAGCTGAAAATTGGACCATTGGAGAATGAGAAGAATGAAGTCCAACAGACAAACTATAAAAAAATTCCTAAAATACCAAACTATATGCATCTCCCCAAGCCTATATTGGGGAAACAAATATCATATCTTTTAATCATGATTTTCTTATATGGATCAACGAACATCTACAAAGTTGATATAACTTGTAATATCAATCAGGCAAAACTGACCTTCACGTAGACGAAATCAGCATTGACGCAGAGAGCGAGATTACTTGGAAGTGTCCATGGAGTTGTCGTCCAAGCCACAAGAGCTGCATTATGAGGATCACCAACTATCGGAAATGACACCATGATTGCAGGGTCCGAGACATCCTAAATAACCCCAAAAAAGAAAACAAAGATAAGTAGTTCAAACAAAGTTTGAGCAGTACTGGTCCAAAACAAGAAATGACGGATAAGTACCTTGTAATTTAGCCCAGCTTCGAAGTTTGAGAGCGGAGTCTTGCACCCAGTGCTGTAAGGCATGACCTTAAACCCACGGTACACCAGCTCCTTCTTCCACAGCTGCGCGAACACCCACCACACCGACTCCATGAACTTGAGGTCCATCGTCTTGTAGTCGTTCTTGAAGTCGATCCACCTGCCCGTGCGTGTGATCACCTCTTCCCACTCGTTCACGTACCGGGTGACGATGGCGCGGCACTCCTCATTGTAGTTGGCGATACCCATGGCGAGGACGTCGTCGCGGGTGCGGATTCCAAGCTTGGTGTCGATCTCGAACTCGACGGGAAGGCCGTGGCAGTCCCAGCCGAAGCGGCGGGTGACGTGGTGCCCGTTCATGGACTGGTAGCGGGTGACGACGTCCTTGATGGTGCCGGCGAGGATGTGGCCGTAGTGGGGAAGGCCGGTGGCGAAAGGCGGGCCATCGTAGAATATGTACTCCGGCATCAATTCGGTGCGCTTGAGCTGGGTCTCGAAGGCGCGGATGGATGACCAGAAGCGGAGGATGGACTCCTCCTGCTGGGGGAAGGAGAATTCCTTGCCCTCGCACACGTCCTCCATCGGCGGCGTCGGTGGCGCTGCTGGATCACCAGCCGATGTGAGAGGCGGCCGAGGAGAACGCTACGCAGGAGCGATTGCCTTTTTTGGGAGGAGAAATGGGGGGTTTTATTCTAGGGTTTTTTGGTGGTCCAACCAACCTATTGGGCCGGGCCCTTCTTATTGCTCGCATGGAACTACTATGCGTACTCAATTACAAGACAAGAATAACGCACGGTATAAGTATGCGTGCGTTAAGAACAACAATCCGAATCAAGTTAATGCTGCGGAACAACGGTCGCATATAATAAATATGCGCGCGTTAAAACACCACGCCGCCGACCTTGTAACCGTCGCATGGCATAACGTAGAAAACAGGGGCAACCATAATTATATACGTTGGCCGTCCAATGGGAAAGCGACGCACGACACTCGTAACGACAAGTCAGCATCACAGACGTCGCAGCGCTGTCATTAAATGATCACGTGTAACGCACGTGCGCTATAGCACCCGTACAGAGAATACAAACACAAGTCGCTCGATACATGTAAGAAACTCAATATTTTTTACATGGTTTTAGACCACTAATTACTTTTTGTTTGACACAACCTAACACGATAATATTCCTAATAACTGCAAAATTTAGATTCTTTACGCAATAAGGACATGTCAAGAATCTTTACGCGAATCTAAACAATGCCACAGCTACCAAAATTGCAGCTCTAAAGAGAATCTTATTCATGCTTCTCTTCACCATGCTTGTTGTCTCTTCCTCCTCAAGATTCAGCCTGATTGAGTTTCTGCTAATGTAAATGATGGTGTGTCTCAGGCCATTAATGGCGCATGAAAGCCAGAAAAGCCCAAACCCAAATGCAGTATGAAATAGCCTGGAGAAGCAGAAGGGTGACCTTCCCCAAGCCAGTTTGCACAAAACAGAGAGAATGACAGCAAGGCCAGTACCAGCAATTCCTGCAGAGATTTGTGTAAGTAGGTGGCTAATGGCAGAGGCTGATTTTTTTAGAGAGAGGACGGATTTGCTGCTTCCCTTGTCTAGAATAACAGAAAGAAGGCTTTCACATGCATGAAAATAGTTCCTCTTGTAAAGGTCTCTTCCGACTTTTTGGTTCTTTTTCTTCTTAGGCAGCATTTTCAGCTTAGTATTATCTAGGCTGCTCATTAAAAGAAGGATAGATGAAAAAAGGGATTAAGAAGTGCAATAAAAAACTGTATATTAACATAATTTTGGATCAATTTAATAGGCTATACCTCTTCGGAGGAGCGCCTATCGAAGAAGACACCAGTTTGTGAGTTTGTGAACGTCCATGGCTTCCCCTGCTACTAAAGCAGACATACATAGACATGATCAGTAGTTATTTAGAAAGGAAAATGCATTATCACAACTGTAAGACTTGGTAACTAAGACAACTAAGATAATGGTGCATATAAAGGCCTTATGTTCCGACAACAACATTTCCACTTGTAACTGATGGAACTCTAGTGATCTTGTGGACTTGTATGTATATAAGTAGGAATCTATTGAACGCTACATCCAATATGTAAACTGTTAAAAGAGAAAGACCTTTAATGTTACATCAATGTTTTAGGCTCCCTTTGCGTGTCTCCTTCATTGTGGCATACTCTCTTCTTTTTCAGTTAGTTACCTTTTGTTTTCTAAAGCTTTTCATGTTTGGTAATACTCTGCAATCTTTCTATTCCGTCTTTTATATTTCTGATTTCTTTTCATTTTGTTGTTCATGCAATTTAACTTTGCCAACTATTAATTCTCATCAATCCAATCTGACAATCCAAATAAAGTCCAGCTCCAATCTCAAGTTCTAGTGCCTAAATTCATCATAGTCCAATCAATACTGTCAGTAACATAGTCTACCTTTTACTCATCTAACAAAACAAGGCAGTCAAAAAAAATGTGATGATCCAGCTTGGGATTATTTATATGTTAGTCTGTCTCATAGTGAGATCTTTTAGAAACGTTTACTATTTTGTAGAGAACAAAAATATTTGATTGCATCCGTCAGAGTATTGATCATTCAAGAGGAAAACCAAAATGGACTATAACCAATATGATCTTTAACAATTGAAAAATGAAACAAAAGGCCTCTCTAAGGAAATATGAAGTTCCAAACTAAAAGTAATGTCCAAACTTTAAGTAAACCCCATCAGACTCGAGTATAAAAGATATCTATATCTTAGCATGTCTAATGAATCAAAAATAAAATTATGCCAATATGCAAGTAAACCATGTCCCAGAAAAATCATAAGTGATTCTGATAAGTAGTTTGGGAATCAGCAAAAGGAGGTAATGATTTACCTTGTGAAGTAGGGGACTAGCAACAATTGCTTACTGCCAACTATTGTTCGTTTTGGTAGATTAAACTCTGTAACAATTGACAGCAGATCTTCCATTTGAGCTGCACTGTCTGCAAACAAGAGCCTTCCATCTGGATGTACCATGTAGTATTTAGTATCAGATGAATTCCCAACAAAATATAACAGAGGCTTTGGGGTATAGATCTGCTTTTGTATATGTAGAGGATCCCAAGAATCATCCATCTCAGCCTCATGGAGAGAGAGTTTGTCATCCAAATGTGGGGAAGGCAACACATCGAGCGTCATAACTTCTGAAAGTAAAGAAGCAGCAAGGTCTTCACCTTCTGCAAGTAACTTTAGTATCTTCTCATTTTTCATACACTTCTCCACAATTCCAAAACTCAAAAGCACCGAGTCAAGGTGTGAACCTGTTTCAAAAAGAGATATGCATTCGGTTGAAATAATAGGATTGAGGATGAGGAAGAAAAGGCTTTTCATGAAACACACACACACACGCACATACATAAATAAATAAATAAATATATATATATATATATATACACATGAATGACAACAACAAAGGTGAAAAGTCCCAATTGCTTGGGGTTGACTACACACATATATAGATGCAAGTCAATTTGAAAAGATGCACAAATCCACATAGAATTATTAGATCAGAATAGCCTAAAGTTGCATCCATGCTTTTTGTGACAACGAAAATTTTGTTTCATAAATGTGCTACTTTATCAATAAAGCATATTAAAACACCCTTCGCTGTACCATTGATCTTGCTTACGGATGTGCTTAGTTGAATCTAGTAACAAAATAATAAGTTATAGATATTCTTTGAAGTATTGTGTTATCTTCATTTCATTTTCTATAAGAATTACTTCCAGCTCATAGACTCAAACATGCTCCAGAATACATGTCATGCTGAAAGTATTGCAGAGTTATGTTTCATTTCATTATGATTTTGGGTTTGATGCACTGAATTACCTAAATTTTTCTTTCAGAAAAAATACTAGAAAGAGCTACAGAAAACTAAAAAAAATGAAAATTGAACTCTTTACAGCATCTTTTAACGCATTCAGTTGAGAATTGCACATTCTGTGAAGGTTTAAGAATTAAGACACTAATATTCTGTCAGTCTAGGTGCACTAAAGCCAAGTTCTTAATAAAGATAGTCCTAGTATCTTCTAGTTGTAACGACATAGTTAATCACACAATAATAGGGGTTGTTCATGCATCAGTACACGGCCTTCATTTTGTTGGTTATAATCCTTTTCTTACAGCTATTATATACGTGTATATATATTTATTAAAGCATGTATGTGTCTATGCATATATACAAATACAAGAATGAAAAGTGGTTGTGACTTTATCATGGCATTTCTTCCAACTTAACAAGCACAGCTGGAGAGGGATACAACCTAGCTGAATCAGCACTGCTGCATTGTCAGCAGACTAGGTGGTGCTAAATGTCAGCAAAATTATGATTTCTGTGTGTACTATTGGTTATCTAAATTTCTTTTGCTCCTAATGATTGCCATGGTTGAAAAATTATGATTCCACATCGACAAGCAACCATGATTTACAAAATGATATTTCTGTATACACAGTCATTCTGGATGTATAAATCCCAACAGAAAAATTTTATATCTCAAAAATAATATACCAACAATAAGAGGTTATAAATTCATGATACACTACTACTAAGCTGCAAACCTTGGACATCAACAAGCACAGGTTTTCCAATCATTTGAGACAGTCTCGCTAATTTGGTTTTCTGTAACAATAGAGGCATTGATTGCTGGAAATTCTCAAAATGTTGTCCATTAAACTCAATGGAAACAGATCTTGATGGATCTTGTTTTCTACCATGAAGTGGCAGCAGTGTTTGAAATTCCTGCATCATAAAATACAAACATTATCAAATCAAGAAAATAGAAATATTGATCAAGCAAGATGTATATAAAAGCATTAAACGCAAAAAAAATCAACTTTGAAATAAAACTACTGCATTCTTAATTAATTTTCATCAGAAGGTCAGAGAAAAAGATAATTGCAAACCTATATCTATCTGTAAATTGAATTGATGTCAGATGATGGTAGTGGAGATGATATCTAGAGAAAGTAAATCAGTGTATTGCAGTTACAGCTAAAACAAACAGATAAATAACTCCAGAGTGGCAATTTGCATGAGCATCATTGCAAGTATTGATCTGATGTTCAATCACGCAGATGAAAATTGGCCGCACAGGAGAAATCATTCCATCTAATGTAATAGATAGATACAAATAAGACTGATTAAAAGAGAAAAAGTGTACAAAGGTTCTTCATCATTGACCAAAATTGTGAAAGTGTATGTCCAAAAGTGTGCTACGCCCTATTAACAACATTAATCAACAATCGAACACTTGAATTTGAACATTTAATGGTCTCATGCATAAGCTAACATCGACAAGAGCAAATTCCTCATGCTTCCACAAAATTTAGAACTGACTTGCCTCATAAAGGCCTCACTTACCTATAAGTGGCATGTTGTCTCACTCGAATCATCACACAGTTAAGTGAGGTGGGTAATGAATATACAGGCAGAAAAAAGTAACATTAGATTTGAAATTGTTTGCTATATAAGCCACATTGGGGTAACTAGCATGATGAGTGATTAAAAGGTACTACCAAGATATGTGGCATGCTTATTTTACATGCTTCGAATATTCTAAGGTGGCATCTTATGTGATAGCAAGTGTCCTGATACGGAGAAAAAAATACTCGAGGTAGAATATAAGCTCAAGCATTCTATTAATTCAGTCATAACCATGGTCCGAACTAAGAGACCATAGTTTTAAAATCATCAAATTTGTTCCAACTACTCAATCGAAGTGTGCATCTCTGAAACAAGAGTTACAAACTATAAAAAAGGGCTCAACAATTATCTAAGTCTTATTCTTGTCCAGAGCTCTCTGGTACACGCATATCTCACTACTCTGAGCTCAAATATCTAGATTTGCATGCCTAATCTGTCTATCTTTCTTCTGGTTCTCCAATAATTTTGATAAGTTGTTGATCTTTCTGAATAGGAAGGACCTGAATGAACTATGTTATATAATCCAACTAATGCCCCTAACAATAGCTAGTTATGAAGCAAAAAGACACCCTCTTTTGAATAGTCCTTTGTTTGCATTATTTTTTTTTATTTTGCTACTTGTCTATCTAGCGCTATCTCCAAGACCTGAGTTAAACCAGAAATTGAAAATGAAGTTTAATAATTTTCAGTTCTTCTCTAGAGATGTTAACTTGGATTCTTGACTGTTATTCCCTTGTCTATTTTTGAGTTCTGAAATAGTTCTAGACGACCTGCTTCTTTCTAATATATTCATATGCATTTTCTATATGCTTGAAATATTTCAAGATATCTATGACTCTGAACTTGGAATTGGCAGAATCATGGTGAGCAAAAAATATATACTAAAGTGTCTTGAAAAGTCCTGTCAGTGCACATGACAGAAATGCTAAACTAACTACTTCAGAATTTGATGATCCAACAGTTACTTCCGATGAGCTTACAAAAATACAAATTTCTTCCAGGTTCTTGTGTCCAGGTAGCAAGGAAAATACGAAAATTTTCCGTTAGCTACAATTTTTAATGGACTTCAGAGCAAACAAGCAAACAATTTTTAATTTGGGATCTTTTGCGTATCCATTCCTCATGAATCATATAAACTTAATAAGATGATGATAGAGAAAGAAATCTTGAAGCAAGTGAAAAACAGAAAAGGGCAGAAGCGCTTCCTGCAAGATTCTCTTTTTCTTTGTAAAGGACCATCCAGTGCATATTTGTAAGGCTCCTGTGTAAGTCTGGGGAGGATCAGCTATAAGATCTCCCTTATATTTCTATAAAATTTAAACTCAAACCAATAGACCACGAAATCCTTCTTACTTCAGACTGCAACAAGATTTACTGCTAGTTCTAACATGGAACGGACACTAAGCCTAGCTGAAATGAGTGGTGCATAAAGGCCTAACGAACCTATCACGGAGAAGAAGAAGAGGGGAGACAAAAGAAACCTCACTTGTCAATCGGTCACCATTGGCTGTAGACTTAGCGCATCAAAATCCAATTCAGAATTGGGATCCGGGCGCACGCTTATGTCGCACGTCTATCTAAGATTATCTCGTAGTAAAATTACCTAAACCACATGTACACCAAACGGAGCTATTGGCAACGTCATAACAGAACACCAAATGAAAGCAGGGGATTACAACTCAATCAAAGATCATTCGACCGATTCCTCTACCTTGGAGCCCCTATGATGCTCCTGACAGACGAGGGCCGGCAGGAAAGCGGCAGAAGCCACGAGGGAGAGCTCCATCGGAAGCAAACAGCCAAAGTTAAGCTCGAGGCGGTGAAGTCGAGCGTGGTGGGCGTTTCTGCGGATACCCGCCCTCACAAACGCCGTTCACCAGATAAGAACAAATTGATGGCGACAAATTGCGGGGGTGATTAGAGGGGAGAAAGAGGCGAAAGCGAGAGACGGGTCGGAGAACCGTTCGAGGCTTCGATGAAGACAGACGAGCGGGTCCTCCTCGTTTTGGCCGTTGTGGGTATGGCGTGGTGGCGACTGACGTGGCAGGCTATTGGTGTTCAGTGTTTACGTGGTTAGAGGGGTCGTGCTGTGGATTTAATCGTTTATTATTTAAAAAATATCAGATGATCTCAGCCGTCAGTTCCATCAATCTCTTTTCCGATCAAGATCTGCCGTTATGGTAATCCTCATATATATATATATATATATATATATATATGAGATGTAAGCTTTTGATATCAAGACCCTATATAGGTCTTTTAGGGAGGATCAGAGTGTTGCATGCAAGATGATGCAAGCCTTTAGAATTAGGTTTGTTATTCCAAAAAAAAAAGAATATAATGATATTATTAAAATATCACTGAATATTCAAGTAACACTAAGAGAGTGAATCAAAATCAAGCTAAAAACATAATCAATAAATACAACCCTACTAGCTTGTGACAAAATGGGACTCTATCAAGTTCTAAGTTTGATAGAAATTGATTAAAAATGTTAAGAGCTGAGGGGAGTTATTTTCTTTGGTGTGATAAGTAAGAGTAGCAAGACACATAAATGGAAAGATATACTTAGTGTGACTGAAAAGAAGGATAATTGTGTCTTCTTGTATTGGTTTAAAATACACCAACCTGCCAAGGAAGGCCAACAAAGGGGGTTAGAAATAGTATTAAGATTATCATTCCAAAGATTGAAGTAAAACATTTAAAATCAAAACAAATAGTATTTGAATTAGTGATAATAGTTGAGTCATTTTATATATGGTGAATAATGTTGGTTCTACCTAAAGAGTGATAGAAATTTGTACTGAGATCACCTTCATTGATCCATTTGGCTTTAGCTTGAAACTATCATTAAAGATTGATTTGTCTACAAGAAAAGTGAATATCTTTTCTAAAATATAATTATGGTTATAAATAAAAAAACCATGTAGATTTTTAAGTTTACTAGATTGCTGAGAAGGGAAGAGGGTGAAGACAATAAGAGTGTTCTATGAGCTTGAAACAATATTATAGACATCTGTATATGCAATCCAAAACTAATAAAATTTAAACAACTTGTTAGAGAAAGTGAAAACCTTATGGGGCAATTAAACTTGTTCAAGTGTCATAAAGAGGTTCATTTCATCAAAAGAAAGATTTATTGTATCAAGAGAGAGATTCATTACATCAAGAAGAAAAAAAGGATTAAAAGTGTATGGAAAGATAATTTAAATTGGTTATTGGTTCTTCGAAAAGGTTTCTTGAAAGAGAATGATTCTTGAATACAATTAATGTAATGTATCTTTGGAGACTATATAAACCTCATATGTTAGGTTATGAAATAAAGAGAGTTTCTGAAATTGTAAAGTATTTTTCTTAAGAGAAATATACAAGATTGAAACTTATCATACTCTTCCTCTGTTTGATAATTTCATCCCCTCTTCCTATCAACATCAACAAGATCCACAAGATCTTGGAAGCCCCGACCAGACCGAATGTGAAAAGTATTTTCATATTTGGCATAGTCTTCTTGTCATTGCCTGCACTTGGAATTCATCATTGTATGTCCTATGGAAAAAAAATAAGTTGAACAAGTTGTTTCTTACAGTTCATTTACATAGCCTCAATTGAGGTAAATAAAATAGAAAAGGGAAACAGGTTTGATCATCTGTCTTCTTACCATAGTTTTGGTCAGCTCAAAACTTGTTATACATGGAGTTACAGAACTCAAACTTCCTTCTGTAAAGTTTCGCCCACTTTTGATTTTTAATATCAATTTTTATTATTTATAATATTCATAATATTTAATTATTTTAATATAACAATTATATAATAATATTTATATTAAATAATTTTATATTAAAAGCTTAATGCTATGGACTTAGTTGTGAATCCTAGAATTTGAATGTGATTTATGATAATTTTTATATTTAGTGAATGAAAAAAATATAAAAAGAAAAGAGAAAAAGAAGATGATATGTGTGAGTGTGCCACCCATACTTGCTACATTGTTGATACCTATGTTTTTTTGTTATATGCTTGTCACATTGTAACCATTATGTTATTTAAACTAAATTAATTAGATATCAAAAGTTAGAAAACTTATCACAATGATGTCTTGTTGTCATCTATTTTAGACTAGAGAAGAGAAAATAAATTGATGAAGAGAAGAATCGAAGGAAAAGACAAAAAAAAAAAAAAGTGAAGTCTTTTTGCTTTTGCTTAGGGATTTTGGACTAGTTCAAGAATTTAGGTTTTAAGACAAATATTCTATTCTTTCTTAGAGTAATTATTATATTTGATTTCTTCTTGTTTATGAATAATTTATTGAGCTTTGCCCTTTCTAATAGCATCAAACTCGATTGAGGTATAAATTTATTATTTTAGAATTTATGAAAATTCTGACGTATCTGTCTTATTTTTTATAGAAGATAAGATTTTCTCAATAAAGTATTTTTCATTTCTTCAATAAAACTTATTCACTTCTTCAATAAAACTTATTCAGTAATTGTTCTTATCTTCTATTCTTTTCATTATGGTATCAGAGCAGTGACAAAAGTGAAGTTTCGCTCTTGCTTTTGGCCAATGACCAACGTCGTTGAGAAAAGCGAAGCTTCGCCCTTGTCTTCGACTAGCGACCAACGTCGTTGCAGCCACATTCCTAAGAGACTCCATGGCCAATTCTCATCTTCCTCACCGCGGTATTCGCTGCCTTCGCTGATCTGTCAACAATCCGTGGACTTAGAAGAATGAAGAGCGAACTTAAGAAGAACGAATGGAATGCTTGTGCCCTCACAGCAACAGCAATCGCAACAATAGTAACGATCTGCTCTTACCCTACTCATCGCTTGTAAATCATTCTTTGCATTGATCCAAGATTAGTATCTTTATCAGGAGCACTATCTTACAGGGACATGATAGAAGATAAGATTTCCCCAACTATATGAAGAAATCTCTCTATTTTGTTGAGGAAAATCCTCTATCAACTTTATTGAAATAACTTTACCTTGAATACTTTAGCTTGAATACACTCAACAGAATAAAGGATTTTCCTCAATAGAATAGATTCCTCATATAATTGGGGAAATCTTATCTTCTATCATGCCCCCGTAAGATGGTGCTCCTAATAAGGATATCAATCTTAGATCGATGCAAAGAATGGTTTACAAGCGAGAGACTTCGTGAGTAGGGCAAGAGCAGATCGTTGCTGCTGTTGTTGCTATTACTGTTGTTGCGATTGCGATGGCGACGACTGTAGTAGAGGAGAAAGCTGCAGTAATAAAAAAAGCTATAGCAATACTATAGCAGAGAAATAAGCTATAATAGAGGAGAAAGTTACAACGATACTATAGCAGAGGAGGCAGCTGCAATAGAGGTACAACAGAGAGTGATAGTGGAGAAGATAGTTACTGTTCACTGAGGAGGAAAGATTTATCGCAACGAGAAAGAGCTTGCTCTGGCTCTAAACCCATAACATGTCATTCTCTTATTTATACAGATTAGGAGAGAGGATTTTCCTCAATAGAATAGAGGATTTTCCTCAACAGAATAGAGAGATTTCCTCATATAGTTGGGGAAACCTTATCTTCTATCAATTTTAACTATAATATTTTAGATAAAATTTGATTTGGCAAAATCTATTTTTTTTGGAAACTAGACTCTTAAATCTTTCTTTTAATATCTTATTTAAATAATTTAAAATATAAATACTTATCTAAACATCTATTTTAATTGATCCCTTCGATTCTATCAAACAGAGATAGAATAGAATGACCTAACCTATCTATCTTATTTCAATTATGGTGTTTCTTATAAACCTCATAATTAAGCAAAATCTCTTTTTGTTGGAAATTAGACTCTGATATCTTTTCTTTAGTATCTTATTTAAATAATTTAACGTATAAATATTTATCTAAATGTTTGTTTCAATTGATCCCTTGAATTCTGCTAAAGAGAGATAAGATGATATTTAACCTATCTATATTCAATTATTTGTAGATTTCTACTGATATCTCTAATTTATACAAAACTTTATTTTTTTATAAAAATAAACACCTATATCTTTTTAATAATATTTTATTTGAATAAATTGGAGCATAATTTTCTATCCAAATTTCTAGTGTAACTTACATTACGGATTCTATCAGAACATATTGATTTCCAAATTTATTAATTATTGTTCTAACTTTTAAAACTTGATTTCAGCTAAAATCCTCCCTCAAATGAGACTAATGTTGTTAATTTAAACTTTTTTATCTCTTAGTCATTATCTCTTGTCATGTATATGTTTAAGTTAGCTTTGATACTTCTCCGTAAGTACACATGTATTTTATTATTGTCTCACATGTATTTATGATATATTTTTATTTTATTAATCAAAACATCCATATTTATACTATGGTGTTTATGTGATACTTTGATTTAAAAAAAAAGGGAATATGTTATTCTTATGGAGCCAAGCTCTAGACATATGCTGTGTCATGATCCCACTACACTAACTATGTTCCATATGATTGAAATATATTTTCAACTAAATTATTTCCTTAAATGAGTCTCATATTACAGTTTTAAAATCTATTTCATCTCTTATTTATTGGTGATTGTTATAATCAATATATTCATATTAACTTAGTATTATTTTATATATGCACATATATATTTTTGTTGTCTCACGTATACTTCTGATGCATTCTTACTTTCTTAATTAGAATATTTATATTATATTCTGATATTTGTGAGATACTATAAATCATTGTTAAAAATAGAAAAGAAAATTATGTGTAGAGCCTATGATGCTCTTATCAGGTCCGATGGCTTCATCCAAACATAGGTGAATAGAACTCCCAAACGTAGGAGACTAATGTTAATGGTCATCCAGAAATAGATGAATAATATTATGTTATGATCCTACTATACTATATATATTCTTTTCATATAATTTCAAAAGATATGCTTATGTGTTGCTGTATGCTTCTTTGATATTAATGAATCGAATGTATATGCCTCTTGACCTTATGTTCAACATTAGGATCTTGATTTGCTTATAGGTTGTTATATACTTTGTTATATGCTCCTTCCATATAAATGAATTGAATGAACTATCAAATATAACTACACTTTTAAATGAACTATTAAATATAACTACACTCTTGAGATCATTTCTTGTATTTTGACCTTGATATGATTATATATTGTTATATGCTATTTTGATATCACTAAATCAAATAAAATAACCAATAAAACTTTTGAGATCATGCCTTATATTTTTTACCATGCTCCTTTAATGTTAATGGAATCAAATGAAATAATAATTTTGACTATATTCTTGATATCACGCCTTGTATTTTGACCTTGATCTTCTCATATATTATCATTTGCTCCTTTATTATCAATAAACTGAATTATCAAATATGACTTTTGAGATCATACCTTATATGTTGACCTTAATATGATCAAAAATTGCTATATATTCTTTTGATATCATTAAAATCAAATGAAATGACCAATATGCCTCTCGAGCTCATGCTTTTTTTTTATTTTTTTTATATATTGCTCTTTGCTCTTTGTTCAGTATGAATCATATGAAATGCTAACTATGACACTTGAATCTATGCTTTGTATCTTGATCCTTATATAATATGATTTATCATCCCTATGCCATCGATATGATAATCATTTATTGAGCTTTATATTTCTAATTTTCAAGTTAGCTTGTTGTCACTTATATTTATATTACGTTTGAGTTGTGGCAATAGAATGCTAGAAGTTTGTAGTAAGCTTTTGATGATTTAGCATGATGTTATTATAAAAGAATACTTATAATGTTGTTCAAAAATCTGAATTGGTGTGTTGTAATGGTTAAAAGATCTTTTATGTTTTCAAAATTTAGAATGTTAAATCTGAAGTTTTTATATTGATGTGAACTTATGGTAACTAGTTGGCTTTATAATTATGGTGTTTCATTAATCTTATAAATTTAGAAATAATTATTAATAATTTTAAACTGGCTTTAGATTTTATAGAGTTATGAAGTGATATATTGAATGATTATAAACTACATTAGTTATAAGTTTTATAGTATGTATATAAATGAGAATTAAATTATTTTGATATTCTCAAATTTTATGTATTGAATCATTAATTTGAATTGTCAATAATTAAAAAAAATTTATAATCTAAGATAGGTTTACACCTTTGAGATGTTATTTTGGGGGTGTAATATTGATGGGAGTTATTTTAGTCCATATAAATAGTGATAGAGTATGAGGATATCGGTGTTAAGGGATCTTTTAAATGCATCTTAGAAATTTTTTTCTACTTCTTGCATCTGCCAATAAAACATCAATATTAATTTAAAAATTAATATGGGAATACACAGTTTTATATGCCCTTTGTCTCGGGGTCAACTCAAGTCTTCTACCATAACTAGCTAGCATATGGGATGATGGATTTTGCATCTATGATATCTGATATCACTTCATTTGTCATGATTATCATAATAGACACTCTATCACAAGTTCATAAATAGTTGCATTAGTTGGTTTGTGGATATGATTAGTTATATGATTTTCTCATGATTGACCATTGTATTCTTTGGCATCCATGGTGGTCATTGAGGCTTTTGATTACTTCTGCATTGGCTTTATTAGTGTCTAAAGACTTCTTTTAAATCAATGGATGATCTTTGAGGAGTGAGCTAGGTTTTATTTTCTTTTAGAATTTCGACCACCTAAGTTACTTAATAAGTTTATCTGAATGCTTAAGATGTTCAAAAAAACTCATATCCAATATAATCATAGTAAAAACATATTGAAGGTAAACTCTCATAAACATGAGCTTGAAAAAATTCTAATTATGGTTCACTAACCAAGCTCCTTATTTGATTGAGCAAGATATATCTAATATAATATAAATTCTAACAAAATGCTCTCTCTAAAATAGTAGATATCTTTCATCAATTTTTAAGGGTTAACCAATTTTTTAAGGTTTTAAACATACGATTGAAATTAGATCTCTAAGGAAAGTGGTGGAGAAGTTGCCCATAGATAGAGTAAGGACCACCTTGAGGACTTTTAAGACTTCATCTGTAGAAGGAAAATAAAATAGAAAAATATTATTTGCTATGTCTAAGACAAAATGAAGGTTGGGATTCAGACCATAACTTCAAGACATTGTCTCTAAACATCTCCAGTGTAAAAGGGTGATGTAAAAACCTACATACAAGATTGAACATTTATTGACTTTATTATTCATATAATTTTTCTTTGTTAAATATTGCACGATCATATGATGATTGGTTGATGCAGTAGAAGGTAGAAGTACTAAAGAAAGAGTCATATCTAGAATTATGATCATGACTTGTAAGAAGCGTTGCACAAGATATAGTCAAGTGATCATCTTAGGTAAAGGAGAATGCTTTCAAACCAAAATAAGAATGATATATTAGTTCTGTCTATCAATAGTTGGATGTTTACTTAGGGATTTACATAAGATGTGTTATTTTCAAATCAAGGTATGAACAATGGTCCAAGGGCCAAATGAAGATGCATGGATTCTAATGGAAATAATCGATTAAGGAACAACGAAAGTTAGAAATATTGAAAAGTCATTGGGTCAAAGAGGGACCGGAGCCGCCAAGGGGCATTTAATAAGAATAGTATATCAAATTAAGAAATTACGAGAAGAACATGAAGTAAAATGATGGGAGAGGGAGAGCTTTTACTAGAGCACCATGAGCTTCAAATAGGAGCCATCAAATTAAGATAAGTGATATTCATAACCATTAGCATAATAAAATAAATTATTATAGACTTTTATTGATTTGATTTGAAATTTTGTGAATGCTATCATGGTATCAAAATGTTTATCTTACATATTGTCTACCAATTAATAACTTAAATGTGGGTAGTGGTCAATCAAATCCTATCAAAATAAGCTAACAATATTAAATTATAAACAACTTAAACATTTGTCTACAAGTGATATATCAAACCATTTTATCAAAAGTTAGAGGATTTGAAACCTCAACTTAATTATTTATCACGAGGCTCTAGAATCGAATCTCGTATTTGTCACTTATCTTTTATAAAAAATAAATTATAATAAAAATATTTTTGAATAAAATCCAATCTTTGAATTCTTCTGGAATATTTATGATTAGGTTTTCAACCCTATAAATAGGATTCTCTCTCTATTACTATAAAAAAACTATACTTCTCCAACATTAAACATATATAGATCAAGATAAAGTTATTTTTGAGTTCAAAAATAAAAATGAACTTCTCTAAAAATAAGTTACAGCACATTTGTCTCGAGCATACTAGTCCGACTATATGTTCAAAATATACATGTGAGTTAAGCTTCAAAGGTAAGTTACTAGGAAAAGGCTCTTCTTATTTTAGATTTTCTATTTGTTGATGTGCCTTCTTATTTTTCTTTGTTATATCCTCAAAATATCCTTGACAGATGGCCCAAGAAGTTTCTCACCGCACTGAATTGATCCATAAATGTAAACGAGTCATGTTATAATATTTTTAATTTTATATAGACTTAAAAAATTTTTTATGGATGTGCTAAAAATATTATAATCTTATTCAAAAACATTATAACTAACTAATATAGAAATCAAGTTCTATATATGTTCTTATTTTTAAACCAATATAAATGTCTATTTATTTTTATTTTTATTACTTTTGTTCTCCAATCAATAAAGAATATATATTTGAAATCCCATAAAAAATAATAATTTGTTCTCAATTATAGTGTCTTTGTGGAGGTGATAAAACCATCAAATTATAATGTCACGGAGCAATACAATAAATGTTTTCAACACATATCTATAACAACCTATTATCAATCTTATTTTCTATTACTTTTGAAGTTTTTTTTCATAAATAGCTTGTAAGGAATATGAAATGATTTTATTGTTATCACCTTTTTTTCTATATATGTTTTGTTATGTAAAACACAAAAGTATAGTTAGCAGGGTTGTCTTGGCACCCTAAAAATTCTTGAGCGATCTCGAGCCAAATGAGATTTCGATTATATGTGTTTTACAGATAAGTTGTTACTCGGTCTTATTATCATCGATGTCATATAGGTACTTGTGCATGGCTATATACTATATAGATTTTTATAGATCTTTTATCGAGTAATCATTCGCTAAGGTCATCTTTATTACCTACAAAATATTTGTTTAGATGTTACTTGTGTCATACTAAATTTCATTTTCATTAACTCATTTTTTACTTACATGTCTATATAGAACCATTATGAATGGATATAATAAGTATAATATTACTATCTTTTATGAATGGATATAATAAGAATATTATACAATTTAGATAAAAACTATATGACAAGTGTATTTTGAGATAAAGAAAAAAACAAGACACTACTGATGAGGTAAAAAAAGGCGAAGGATTTCAATCCATAAAAGCCCAAAATGAAATATTGTTTTAAATATCAAATTTAATTTCATTTGCGTGTCATTAAAATCATAATGAGAGGGGCAATTATTTACTGTTACACGTTAAATGTGGTTCATACATCCGCAAAAAGCTTGTATGTCTTGGCGTCCAGAATCACCTGCCGCACCGCCGAAATGGAACCCAGCACGGCCAGCATCGAGAACACCGCGGCAATGGCGGCGTTCAGCCAAAAGATGAAGCTTCTCCTCGACGGCTTGAAGGTGATGTTGTACAACACCGACGGCACCGTGAAATCCAGCGGCAGGAACCCGAAAGCGCCGATGACCGCGTTGAGGTCGCCGAAGAAGGGCAGCATGGCGGCTATGAGAGTCGCAATGACGATCGATAGCGATCGGAAGATGAGCCTCGGCACGACGTTCCGAGCGGAGTACTGGTCCTTCGTTGCGTCGGCGAACAGCCCCTCCAGCACCTCGTTGGTTGGCTGCAAGTATACCTGCGTGAATCAACATCCCCGCTTCAGATGCTCTGTGGTGGTGGGTGGTTTCTTGCCAGGTTGGGGATTTGTGCCCTTACCACTCCTACGGCTGCTAATTGGAGCAGGACGAACACATTGGTCATCATGAGGAACCACTTGGGGACCAGAACGGAGCCGTCTTGCAGGATGAAGTTGGCGGTAATGGAACCTTGAGCTCGGTTGCCGAACGCCCAGTAGCCTGATATCGCGACGCTGAAGAACGTCATCACCACGATCGTGTAGCAGAGGCAGAGGCCCTTGAACATCTTCCCCGTCACAGGAGGAGCTGCTGTTGCCTGCAAGGTCACGCGAGAACGATGAAGCAGATGAAGGCGCGTCACCGGTCCGTCGTCACGCTCGTCGCCTACATACCTGTATCTCCGGAATGATTCCGTTGCCGAAGGTGGTAGCGACGATAGCAATGGCGTTGAACACTCCAAAGACGCGATCTTGGCTGTCGCTCGGAAGGGAGTAGTCTCTCGGTGGTGCGGTAGACGAGTGCCCTGTCACAGGTCGAAGGTGCATGTTACGTGTTCGTTAAAATGTTTACTGAGTGGAGAAGATGGATCCTGTGCATTTAAGCTATGGTGTGGTTGGAACTCCAAACTAAGGATCGAGAGGGGCGAGGATTACCTGCATGGATGGAGCCCGCAGTGGCACACGCACTGTAGGCCAAGCAGAGCATGAGCGAGATGAGGTTGATGTGCCTGAGGGAGTGGAAGGAGGGGATCTGCGCGAGGATCAGCATGAACGCCCCAAAGATGACAACAAATTCATAAAGCTTCATCATGCCATCTGGCCTGGCGATCAAGTATATGGACTGCAAAAACAATGCAGGAGTTCAGATTCAGCAATTCTTAATCGAGTTCTTTTAGTTACAGAACAACAAGCTGGTTCGATGGCTTTGCACTCAAGCATATGGATGGCAAACAAACTGCAAGAGCTTGGATTCAGCAAAGTTTGACTGAGTTCTTGTAGTCACAGAAAAAGCAATCAAGTTTGAAGGCCTTTGATCAAATATATGGACTGCAAGCAGAATGCAAGTGCTTGGCATCAGTAAAGAGTTCTTCTAGTCACAGAAAAACAAGTTGGTTCGATGGCTTTCAATCAAATATATGGACTGCAAGCACAACTCAAGCGCTTGGCATCGGCAAAGCTCGATTGAGTTCTTCTGGTCACAGAACAAGAAGCTAGTTTCATGGCCTTGCCGTCAAGTATATGGATTGCAAACACAACACAAACGCTTAATTCAGTAGAGCTCAGTTGATTGTTCTTGTTACGGAACAACAAGCTATTTGATGGCCTCGCAGTCATGCATGGACTACAAGCATAATGCACAACCTCAATTCAGCAAAGCTCAATTGACTTCTTCCACCTTACAGAACAACAAGCTAGCATGATAAGCTGCAGAAGACGAACCTTCATGCTCTGTCCACCCAGCAGAGCGGCGCCAATGACTGCACCGAAGCATACTGAGAATTGAATTGGGCCAATGTAGAAACGACCCCATCTTGGCCCTGTTGCATCAAGCACAAAAATATCAGAAATTTTGGATGGCTCTTATGGTACAAACCCTGAAAGAGCAACAGTACTCATCAAACCAATGGCAAAATTAAACAAATGATGCAGAGTGTGGACAGGATATTGCCAGCTTTCAGCATGTTGCCTCATGTCTTGACCATTTGAACATGGGCAACCTCTGGAAGAGTGGCGTGTTAGACTCGGCCATCTATCAGGATTCCCACCATCAATTATTGTGTCATTGATGCACCCATTAGTCACATTCATACAGCTCTCTTCTGAAAGATTCTAATAACTGAAGACACATGCATTGATTGCATATTGGAATCAGAATTTTAGTAGCTTTGGAGTGTACACAAAGTCCATGTTGATTATTGATATGGAAGAATAATTTATATTATCCTTTGCCTTCTTTGACTGATATTAATTGCAACTTGGACATTATACTTCTTTTTGTTGTGATGAATGAACCATGGAAAGACTTGAACTGACACCCTTTCTGTTTCTCATTCATCTTATTGATTGTGTGATCCTATGGTAGAGATGTTTCATGGTAAACCTCCATGAGTCCAAGTCATTTTCTTGGTGATGTAATCAGGGGATAGTTTGGGTACAGTAGGCTAAACTTCATACAGCTTAGTACTTGTCCTGGGATTGTGGCACCTATCAATGTGATCCTGCTCGGTGTGAGGTGCAGGTTTTTGACCCAGCTTGCACCAGTAGGAGACAGCAAGCAAATAGGTGAGCTGTGGCCCTCTAGAGGAAGATTTGGAACCTTCTAATTGTGACAACGGTGACCACCCTCAGACTGGTTTGGTATTTGTCTGGTTCTGATGTCAGTGGAATATCTGAATCCAACTTTTTCTTCCACACCAGCCATAGTGTTGTGATCTTGTTTGAAGGGAACTCTTTGATTGCTTGTCCAATCTTCCTAAGGTATCCATCTTTGACTTGTCTAAAACCTTTTTCCTAAACTGTATCATTTGCAACCATTGTGGAAGTCTCTACAGCCTCAAGTTGAAGATCTAAGCTGGATCTAATATCTAATGTGTTTGTGGTGCCATTTGTTCTCCTCCTGACCAACCTTACCTAATGATCACTGTTAGGATCAAACTCTGGTCCGTTCAGTTCGGCAAGATCCATTTTAGCTCTGACGAGATATTATGATATCCTCATACATGAACCCAAACCAATAATCATTAGAATAATAATAATAATAATAATACGAATGGCGAAGATTAGTATTCATTGATGGAAAAGCATGAGCAGATGTATTACCGAGGATGTCGTGAGCCATGTCCCGGAAGCGGAGCTGGCGCCGGCCAAGCTGCGCGTGGTGCTCGAGCACCAGTGAGAGGAGGTTGTAGGAGTAGAAGGTGACGGCGGCGCCGATGACCAGGAACAGAACGCCCGGAGCCCAGCCGAGCGACGCGAACGCGAAGGGGAGACTGAGCAGCGCCGGCGCCACGATGGAGGTCGTCAGATGGTAGCCGCAGTGCAGCCATGAGCCTGCAGCAGTTTGCCCACAAAGCAGTGTCTCAGACACCAAGAAGAAACCAAGTAGATGAGCTCCATTAATGCAGTAGCATACAAATCTATCATCAAAATCTAGAACAACTTTTTTTTTTTTCTTTGAATAAATATATATAATATCCACCAAAATTCTTCTCAAGCCTTCTTCGAAATGGTTATTACACTTCTTTCATCTTGTGTTACTAAGAATCAAAAACTAAGGCAACTTTTTTTTTCCAATGAATTCTTTAAAAGAAGATTGTCTTTTTCTTTGGATCTCAGTCAAGTGTTACTACAAGTCAAAAATATGTATATAATGTTTTAAATGTCAATATTCTTCAAGTCCTCTTTTATTGCCTGATGTCTCAGACAGCTTCTTTCAATTATTTGAAAGAAGCTTGTCTTTTTCTTTTGGTCTCAGTCAACATGAGTACACATCTTCCATCTTGTGTTACTCAAATAAAAATCTGAGACAACCTTTTTCAATGAAAAACATGAAATATATAATAATAATAATGTTTATAATGCTAAAATTCTTCTCAAGTCTTCTTCCATACCTGATCTCTCAGACAACTTTTCTCAATCCTCTAAAAATAGCTTGTCTTCTTCTTTTGATCTCACACACCATAATTATACATCTTTCAACTTGACCTAAGACATTTTTTTTCAATGAAAAACCTGATATATATATATATATATATATATATATATATATATATATATATATATATATATATATATATATATATATATATATATATATATATATATATATATATATATAT